AAAATCTCTTTGAAGTTGGCAGAACGCTGAGCAGTGTGATGTAAATGGTGTTGAGTTTGCAGAAGATACCTAGTGGGTTTTGCTATTGCATTTTAGTAGTTTTGTCTGTAAAACTGGTCCTTTGTCACAGGTTTGAGATGAATTATTTCAGCTTCACTCCGAATACTCTAGGCAACTGTCTTTCCCCATTTTCAAGTGCCTCTAACTTGGCCTCTGCCCTCTTTGCTGTTCTAGCTGTTACATTTTGAGGTAATTGCCATGTTCTGTTAGAAATAACCCAGGCTGAAACAAATTTATCTTTTAGTTGAATTGTAAAGTGCTGCACGATTTTTGTCATGTGGATTGGTAGCAGAACTTTAATTGAATTTCCTTGCTCATGGTCTTGTGTCTGAAGATCTTGACTGCACAGCTCTGTTTCTATGAGGTAGATTGGCAGGTAGTGCTCTTAGTTTCCATAAGGTTCAGTAAATAAATTTTAATGTAGATTTTATGGAATATTTATTAAATCCATCAGCATGTTTCACTGCATCAAAGACACTTCATTTAGATGAATAGGCATATTTAAATCCCACGTGCTGTGAAGTGCATGACTGCCTGTCAAAGAACTGAGTTGTGTTTTAAAACAAAATGGATCTATTAAGTTTTCTTTGGCTGTCAGTGTGTAATTGATGGGTTTCTGAAGGGGAGCAGAAGGGGACAGCCCGTGGCTGCTTCCCTGGGCATTCACATTTGTTGGCAATACCTGAAAAAGCAGGGAGATGAACCTGTGTGGAACACAGCAATGTCATTTTCTACCATAAAAAGTCAGAGGCAAATGAATTGCTTTGTAAGATTTTTCTTTCTGGCTCTTCCACTTGCAAATTGACTCATTAAGTGCAGTGCTTTGCCTGGGGAAGGGAAGCCTTGCCCTGCTGCAGTTGTTATGTCAGCAGGTTCAAGAGTCAGCGAAGTTTGACTGCTTCAGAAATGAAGGTAATTTATGCCTTACACCAGTCCCTGAAGGTGATAGAGGCTGGCTGTTTACAGCCTTGTAAAGGAGACAAAGGCTCTGTATTAGCACTCTGACTACGTTTTAATATGCCCTATTAAAATAGTCTATATATTCTCCAGTCTGAAGAGCTCTCCAAGGTTTCCTAACGTGTCTGCACTGACCAAAAAATTCAAACTCCTTTGCTTTTAGGAATTAGATTAATGGCATAAAGCTGTCCCATCATCCCTGTCCATCCATCCGTGTCCCCCCCTAATTTTTTTAACGTGTTTTGTTGTGAGAATTAATTTCAGCACCCCTTTTAAAAATTACTTTTCCACCTGGGAGATGCAGAAGGTTTCGGGGTGAACTGAATCTTTATGCTCTGCAATGTTCTTTTTAAACTTTAAGTGTTTTTTCCAAGTAATGGTCATTTGTATTATCTGTAAAGTAAACGAGAAATGAACATTAAAATTAAATTAGTTTGCTTTCTGATGATCTGTTAATGTGTTCTTTGTGTAAGATTTGATAAAGTCTGAGTAAAAATGTTCTCTTTTTGATAGTAAAGCTCAACCACAGGTGGAGAAGTTCTTTACTAAATACTGATTAGGTTGGTTTTCAAGGAATATTTGATTTTTCTGACCTTTGATGTCATTCTCATTTAATGTTACTTAAATTAAAATGTCATCTTTTTTTATAGTACCTAAAATAGACTTTATTAGTTTTCCTGAAAGCTATGTGCAGCTTTTCTTTGGCCCATTTAAATATTGAAAACAGCAGGATTTGAGATTTTTCTTCTAATCCTCAACTAATAGAGTTTAATGCTTTGTTTGGCCTACCTTGCACAGCCTAAGCAAAAGTTTTAAACAAGATTAAAAATATGACCTTATTAACCCATGACATCTAAAGATACAGAACAGGCCTGCAGAGACATCAGTCATTCCTTGGCCAGGAGAGCTTTGGTGCCATTCCCAAACTACTCAGGATGTTCCAGAGGAAAACATTTTGGCAGCCCAGCTTTTTTTTTTTTTTTTAATTCTTCTGTGGTTTTGTGCCAGCACCTGGGAATAAGAAATTAAAAAGGAAAGAATCTAAGTTGAATATTTAGTCTTTGTGGTTGTGGAAAATAAAAGTTTGAGTACTTCTGGAAATTTGAGGTGCAACCTGGCTGGGTTTCTAAAAAAAAAGGACAATTTGGCAGAGCAATGGGATGTTGGTTTTGTGTGCTTCACCTCATTAGTCCCTGAGTAAAATGACTGTCACCTTTTTGGGGCTTTTTTGGGTTTTTTTGTGAAAAGTTAGAGCTGTTTGTAAGCTGCTGTTGGATGGGTGATTGATGAACATGCTGAGTTCCAGAAGAATAAAGTGTATCATTGTCATGGAAAGTTTATGTCTAGTAAACATTACAAAACACAAAACCCAGTGGTACATTCACTGCTGTGTAATGGGATTCCTTGTTTACTGGGCAGGCTATAGGGCCATGGCAACAACACCAGAAATAGGAACTATGAGTATCCTTGTTGTAAAGATGATGATGGTTATCAGGCACTTTGTTAATTGCTGCAGGTTAACGTTTCTCCGTATTCATTATCACTTAGCAGTGAGAGGATCAGCCAGGAGGTGTAAATGTGGAAGTTTGACTGAAATCTTTAATTAAAATAATGAGGTTTATAGTATGGCATGGAAGAGTCGGGTCAATGTGCACCTCATTGATGCTTTGAGACAATTAACAGCAAGTGCTCCAGGGAAGAGGGAATAACCAGAGTTTGCTTATAAACAATGCAAACTCCCTAAACTTCTTTTTTTTTCTAGTGATATTCCAAACCAAAGAAAAATGAGTGCTAATTCCTTAAACATACTGGTTTCTTGCTTGGCTTTCGTCATATCAGTTGCCCTTTTGATCTAAACAGGGCAAAATCTGGATCCATGTTAATTCAGTTCAAGATCCTGCTGAAATTTGGAGGCAGAATAAAAGCCAGACAAACTGCTTACACTGTCATTGATAAACACTTCGTGCTTTCATACCATTATTTACATTTTTTTAATAATTAAATGTGATTTTTAAAAACTGAAAGTGGATGGTGGCTTTGCAACCACGTGTGCACTGCGGAAAACCAGAATATTTTGTGCACCCTGCATCTTGGTTGTGGAATGGAGAGTTTGTCAAGACCTGGGGATGTAGAAGAAGTTAGGAAGAGGGTGAAAAGCCCTTAGTTTTTTCTCTCTTACCTTGTCAATTTTATTTTCCTTAATTTTGTTTGGCCTTTCTTGGCTCACTGCCTTGTTCTCATCAGCAGTGCCAAATCTCTGTAGCAAAAACCTGGTAATTTTCAGGAATAAGATGGTCTGTAGGTAGGTAAAGAAGTCTAGGAATACATTGAATTTTCATCTGATTATTGATCATTCAATTCTCTCTCTGCATCACGCTTCACTGACCTTCCTGTCCCTGCCCCAAACTTCTGAGGACCTGGGTCAGTGAGGAGCTGATGTTTTGGGATAATCACATTTCTGTTTATTGGGGCTGTGCTGCTGATTCAGAGCCATTCCCCATGCAACAGATCCTTGGCATGGTGGTGTTTTCCTTGACACTGTATTTTACAAAAGTTGCATTAGTTTTTAATTTGTTAGCCAAAATTTCCACCTCTCCTGGATGTCTGTGTCTGCCTTGTTATTGAAGTAGTCTTTTTTTTTTTTTTTTCCTGCTGTTCTTCTGCATTCTTGATTGGTGAATATGCTTTCAGTTTCATTTTGGTTTTTGGCTGTGAGTAATTATAGAAAGGAAAAAGTGATAAAAAGCTTTTGCAATATGCTTACTGAATTAACTCCATAAAATGAGGTTTTCAGGCTGGGGTCTGTAAGCTGAAACTGAGTTACTATCTTTAAAAGGGTAAAAAAAGGAAATGCTGTTGATACTTCATAGTCTCTGGGACACTGTGGTGGAAAATGTTAGTTTTCAAAATGAAAAAAAAAAATTGAGTGTTGATATAAATATTCCATAATCAAAGAGTCCTGTAAAAGCAGTTCAATGAAGATTAAAAGGTCACTTAGACAGTTCAGCTGGCTTTTTTTAGTAATTATATGGCTAACTTGGTTTCCCTCAAAGTAGTGATTTTATGCTGTTACAGCAAGAAATTAATAATGTGAAAAAATTTATCATAGTGCTTTGTAATTAAGTTACAGTTTACAGGTCGGTGCTAGTAGTACTTTTAGGGTGCTAATTCCTGGTTATACCCAATGTTTGATCATGCTTTTCGTTTGATTGCACTATTTAGCATTGAAATTCGCTGTTGTCAGATTTGACACAAAACGCAGAGCAGGGGAGCAGAGGGGATGGTTTGCACTGTCCTGCTCCAGCCTGCTGGGCTGGTTAATGTGCCTGCAGTTAATCCCAAATGATAGTGCTCATTCCAAGTGGTTTTCTGGCCTCCTTCTCTGCTTCTAGCCAAGGATAATTTTCTATACTTGGATTAACCCTTCACTGTTATGTTTCACATCCAGACTCCTCGAATGTCTTGTGTCAGGTTGAGTGCTCTGCTGTGGTTTCTTCTGCTAAGGCATCGTTTTTGTGATTTAATTTTTTTGTGCTTTCAGGTCTTTTGGTCTCCTTTAATTTGTTTCTACTTTTAGTAACTCACCTTTTTTTCCTTTCTGTTTGTTTCCAGTGTATACTTTCCTAAAGAACTTTCACGTATGTTTAGTATTTTGCATTCAAATGAATCAAAATCTGTTTGATTCTGCAGAATGTCTTAGTCCCAGTCTAAGGCTGTAGTAAGTTTTTATTAAAGCATAATTAGACACTGATTTTTGGATGCAAATAGATGTTACTGCTTAAAATAGATGCAAATAGATCTTACTGCTTAACTAGAAAAGTTTTGAGATATTTAAATGAGTCTATCTACAAAAGTCTTCAGTGACTGAAAGCACTTTAGGCAATACAGCTTTAATAGAATATTTTTCAAGTTCATGCTGTGTTTTAAAAAGGTATTCTGGTTTTGTGGCTTATAAATTTAATGGTGTGTCTTTTTTATCACAGGGAGAAGAAAATGAAAATCCAGGATATTAAAAACAATATTAAAGAAGCTATAGAGGTAAACTTACAAGCTATTGTTTTTTAACTATTCCAGGTGGCTATTTAGACACTCTCTGCAATATTTTACTTGTGTTTCTTTGCAGACAATAGTGACAGCAATGGGCAATTTGGCACCTCCAGTGGAACTAGCCAATCCAGAGAACCAGTTTCGAATCGACTACATCTTAAATTTAGCAAACCAGATAGACTTCGATTTCCCTCCGGTGAGTAATTCACAGGCAGCCATGCCTTCTTGCAAATGATTGTATTTCACTGCCCTGTAGTAAATATTTCCCCAGAACAGTGAGCTGCTCTCTGGGAATTATTGCAGTAGGTGCCTTTGATGAGTGCTAATCGAATTTACAGCAACACAGCCAGAATATTCCAGCTGATCCTTCAGGAACATGGAGACTCTTGCCTGCTTTTTGTGCTCTGGTGAAATATTTAGCCACAGAGTCAAGATGGACAGTGCTGGGTGTAAAGTTTGGATATTTGGGAATTGTCCTGCCCAAAAAGAGTGGAGATACACACAGCACTCTCTTGATGATTATTAGCTGGTGTTTAATGGTGCTGATTTCTCTCTTCTGGAAGAGCAGTGGAGTTTTCTTACTGATTCAGACTGTGTCAGCCTGGCTCTGCAGAGGCTCCACACACACGTCTTGTCCCAGCCCCTCCCAGTCCTGGTTAATCATTCGAGGTGCCAGCAATCCCAGAATAAATGCAGAAAGGATAATTATTTAGTTGATGATACAACTTTGTGCCCACTCACGGTGATTAATTTGTCCTGTATCTGAACCAGACTTGTAGCAGAAGCCCATGAAAATACAGTTTGCAAACACTGAACACTTAAACACTGAGAAGATATTTTTGTTAATTGCCATGAAGTACCTTTTACTTGCAGTAGTGCAGGAGTGTTTCAAAACTTGTATTTCTCTCTCCGTGCACTGTTTCAGGGAGCTGAGGGGAGGAATTATGATGATATATCAAAAATAATGATCTATTTACACCAAAATTTTGTGTCCAGCAGTCCCAAATGCTGGAAATTAAAGTGCAAGTGCAAATAGCAGTAAGATGTGGGATAGTTTGCACCACAGCAATTCGTAATTCATTTTGTAATTCTTGATATGTAAACATTATTGAACAAGCTGGTCTGTGAGACCCAACAACAGTTACCTTTTCCAAATGTTGCTGCTTCTAGGAATTTCTCTGCTTTGATCAGTCTTTATCAAAAGAAAAATAACCAACCAAACAAACCCACATGCTTTGTGTACAAGGCAGAAGTCAGCTGACTTTAGCAGTTAATTGGAGATACTGCACTGTAATCTTCCAATCATTTTCAATGTAACAGGCATAGACAGGTTGGTGGAAGGGGATGTATGATTCCCTCGAGCACATAAAATGTAGTCGTTGTCATTTTGTCTTAAAGCACCTTAAATTTGAGATTTTGAGATTTTTAACTTCACACCTCTGTAATTTAGACGTTTGTCGGTGTTATTCACAGAAATACTCAGTCCTTTAATGGATGAGCTCTCCTGCTGGGGGCACAGAAAAATTCATGCTTTGAAGGTAGTTACAGGAGAATATTTCAGGGAGAAGACAGTGGTTCCTTGCTCCACCCTCTGTGCTTCTGCACTGGCTGTGTGCCCACAGCTCTCCTGCCATTGTTTGTGCTAGTTCAGGTTGTGATCTGTAACAATGCTGCAGCAAGTTTCTGTGACCTACCTCGTACTGAAATGCTGGATTTTCCTTGTATCTTCTGTCTCAGAGGTCTTTTTTCCTTCCATTCAGTTGGAGTGCAGTGATTTCTTTTAATTTTTCCCTTTTTTCCACTGAAAGCAGGGTGTAATTGTGTGACTTACAAGGTCTATAAATAATTCCAGGTTCAGTGAAGAGTATTTGAGGTGTTGAATGACACACAACTTCAGGAATAACAGTGCTCCAATAAAACTAGTTTTTCTTCTCTGAGCAAAGGTATTGTCTTAAATTTTTAAGCCCTGAGTCTACAGAGGTTTAGGTGTGTGCATAACTTTGACTGGTGGCTTACTTCATTGGCATGATTAACTATTTCATATGTAAATGTTTGTAGGGTTGAGGTTTTAAACTGGAGATGCATTAGCCACAGATGTTGGAGGACTACTGTTGGCTCTCTCTGCCCTCAGTGATTATATAAATTAATATATCTCTTATTTCTGAGTTTGTCTGAATGTAGGTTGTAGTCCTTTGGTACCTGGAAAACTGAACCTGCATTTTAATTACATTATTTAAATCAAGTAAAGATCTAGAGTGTCCCTAGATGCCAGCTCTCAGTGCATAGGGACAGAAATCACAGTCCTGGAGTACCACTGTAAAAATAATTTTGATTTTGTTACAGATTAGTTAAAAGTACTTTGAAGAAAAAAATAATTTTATGGAAGCAGAACTTGTGCTGGTTATGCTTTAAATCTAAGGAGATGTCCATCATCTGCTTCCTCCTCCAGTACACTGGGGGAAGAATTTCATAAACCTTTCCCTGTACAGAGTATTGATTGGGAAGGAGAGAGGGGATTTTTAAGCAATGTCAGCCCTGTGTAAAGCTGTCTGGTTTGAGCTGCAGAACTTGCTTTCTGCCTCTTGCATTTTCTTCATGGGAAATCACATTTTGGCTGTCTTGAGCACATACTTTCCTCTGTGCAGTATTTGATGCTCTTCTCTGCTCTAGGGAGAACATGAGGTAGGGAGGAGGACCCCTCATGTCCCTGGGGGATATTCTTTGAGGGCTGCAAGTACTTAGGACTGTACTCCTAAATACAGGGCTGTTCTGCTTCCCTTCAAATGCCCATTCTTCTTTTCCTAAACATTAATTTGGGTTGCTCTCCTGAAGAGAATGCACTGACATAGAGGCCAGCACAAGGATTGTGGGATTTCTTCTCTAGCTACACAAGATCATCATCTTCACGAAGGAGCAGTTGAAGTGAATTTTAAAGTAGAGGCCAAAATCTGTGTTTATAATTCCCAGTGGTACAGGTGGAGCTGGAATGCAGGTCTCCTAACAGCAAGGTTCAGTGTAATGTGAAAGGCAGAATAAAGTCAGGAAGAATGTAGGAGCTTTACAGTGTGATAAATATTGGTATCTGACTCTACATGTAAATTAGGATTCAAAGAGCAACTTTTGTATTCTGATATTCTAATTCTTTTCTTAGTCTGGGTCTCCATCTGTTTGCCTTGCAGTTTTTGACTTACAGGAAGTGTGTGTCATTTGTGTAGACCATATTGTTTTGAATTAAAAAAACCTAAAAAACAACAGCTTGAGTTAAAAATAATGTTGGTACAGTGTAATGCTAGGTTAAACATCCCCTTTAAAGCTGAAGATTTACTATGTTGGAGATTATTAATTCAGCACAGTTGGTATTAAGAAATTAAATTTTTGAATACAAGTAGTAGCATATGGAGAAAGGCAAAACATAGTACTGACTGGGAGGAATTCTGTCCACATAACATGCTGGTATTTTAAAATACTGCAGTTTCTAGTAGATCAGATCTATAGTTGAGAATTTTAAATGGTATTTATTGTCCTTTGATACACTTAGCTTGACACAACTGTGTGTGTGTGTTTTCAGTGTCAAAAATCAACCTCATAAGTAGTTAGAATAATTCAAACTAGCTGTATATCTGTCTCAAATGTCAGGTGATGTTGGGTTAGCTGGGTTATAAAAGTGATATTTTTATTCCTGTTCTGCATACCAGACAGTGGTTAGGATATTTTCTTCATCCCCAGTAACAGTGGCCTTCTTCTCATCCCTTTCTTTTTGCTCTTCCTTTTAGAAGAGGGAAGGAAATGTTCCCATTTTATCAACATTTCACACTCCATGATCAACCCAATTGAACCAAGCTGCCAAATAAAACCTATTTACTTTGGGTCACAGTCCATTTATAATTCTCTGGTTTTAATGAAATATTCAAAATAGCTGAGCAGGATTTACAGCTACCTATTTTTAAATTTATCTGGTTTCAGCTGAGGAAGATGTCTCTTGAAAATACCATGCTAAATTCAGAAAATGGTATTTAGAACGTAGTAGAATCAGAGTATTAGCTATTGAAAGGCAAAATACCAGAGCCTATGGCTGTCTAGGTTGTGGATGTTCAAAAGAGATGTGGATGTTCTCTGCAGGTCTCTTGGTTTCAGTTTAAGTTTTATTACACTGCTCCATTGTAGTTATTTTGAATCTCCCACTACCTCTGCTGCTGAATGGTTTTATTATGGTTTTTGAGTGGTGTCCTTGAGCTTTACCACACTCTGGCTTCAGCCTCAAAGGCAGCTCAGCATCCCCTGTGCCCACAGCCACCCCTTCCCCCTGCTCCACACTGGGATGTGCCACCCACACCGGGCCAGGAAAACCTCTCTGGGTCCCAGTGTCAACCAGAGCATTGAACCAGCCCAGGTTAAAAATAACCCTGGTAACCCTTACTCCTTCTCTCTTCTATTTTGGGGAGGTTATTTTTAACAGGGATCAGTTTTGAGGTCTGATTTACAACCTGGCAGTGTGGTACAAAGGAGGAGGTGCTCAGTGTGATCCCTTAACTTGCAGCAGGGTCAGAACGGGGCTTTGGAGTCCTTAAAATGGTTTTGACACCAAAATCTTCAAGATGGTAATGAGGTAATAGAGTCTCAGTAAGAAAAGATGTGAGCTGGGATCTCTTTGCTGCCAGAAGTGTTCCTTAATTATGTAGGCAACAGAACAAAATTATCTGTCCCTGTAGATAACCACCCTGATGGGTATAATGATGGATATATTATTATTCCTGTCTAAATACGTCATGGCAGAAGAAGAGAGCTGCTCTGGTTTGACAGCATCACTCCCTTTATAAAGTAATGACAAACATATTCACTGCACTGGGGGACGTTTCCCGTGGGGATATCTCAAATGTCACAGATTTTGGGATGTGAAAGTAGGCAAAACATTTTCTTTGGTGAGGATACCCCTGGGAAGCTGGGAAAGGTGGGAGGCAGAGCCTGATTTCTTGGGTGTCTACACAATATTGTGTGCAGTTTGGATACTTACCACAGAGAGAAAATTAGGGCCTCCAGCTTTTTCTTGTCCAGATTTTTTATTATTTTGAGCAAGACACTTCAATGTCCTTTTTATAATTTTTTAGTATTCTCTGTCTTATTATGTGTAAAAGACTGATAAATACATATCTTGGAGATGCATCTTGAGGTGCAAAACTAGTAGAAAATGTGGAAAAG